CCATCGGCAGCCAAGGGGTGCCGGCGCTTGAAGGCGAGACCGAAGCAGGGGCGTCTGTCCTGGGTGTTGTTTCAGCCAAGCCCTGAGTGCAAGCACACATCCCTGCCAAGGATGCAGCTTTTGTAAACTCTGCCCAAAGTACCGGAGGCCCTGCCGCAAATCCTGGCCACAGGGTCAGGCGGTTGTGCGCCATTTTCCATGCGTGTGTGTGAGTTGACCACGGTGTGGCCGCTGACCATTGGCAAAGGGATGTTTGACCAATGCATCGGAAGGCCCATGGCAAGCCTCCCATGGGACATCAAGGTCAGACTCCGTGGGTTTGTGCATGGTCTCGCGATCGTGACACGGGGAGAGACGCTGAGCTTTTTCATTGTTATCAGGGCGCCCGATGACCGCGGTTGACCAGCAAGGGGCGGACCCAAGGGCGGCAGCATTTGACTGCAGGCGCAAAGTGCGACCTCCCAGTGCTCTATCCTGCAGTTCTCCAAGAGGGGGCAAACACAGGGGCGTGTTCCTGCTGAAGACAAGGTGTGCTTTCAGGAAATGTGGGTGCAAGTCTTAGTTTAAGACTCTGTGCTTTGGCTCTGTGTTTGCTTTGAAAAGGATACTTGCAAAACGTAACATAAAATTGTATTGAATCCCTGGACAGCTGTGTGGGCACTCCAGTCATGATCGAAGCAACAATGTGCCTCTTGCACAGCCTGGCTAATTTCCTTTTTTAATTCGCCGTCAAAAGACAAAGAGGGACGCTTGCAATCTTGCGGGCGATGGCAGCCATGTACACATCCCATAGCATTGTCCTTCAAGCATTGAGTTTGCCAACTCACCAAATATCTGCAATACACAGATATTGGTCCAACATAAGGACAACACTGGGCTGCATGATATACCTCTCTCCATGCCAATATAGCTTAGTTCCATCCAGCGAGAATTGATGCACATCCCTGAAGTGCACAGCCCCCAGTTTCGCTGCCACCGTGGGGTTTCCCTTGTGTGCGTGTCCTTCTGTCATTTGACTTGGAGCAGAAATTTCACAGTGGTGCTGAGGCTCTTGGGGACCGGGGTTGTGATCGATCATGCCCTGGTAATGGCCTGTTGTGCCCAGGCTTGGTTTTTACGTTTACGTTTACGTTTTTACTTTTACGTTTTTACGCGTAAAAACGTAAATTTGCAAAAGGGCCTATTTTTACGGCTGTTTTTACGTTTTTACGGCTCCCTGGCACACGTAGTTTACACGATGAAAGTTGCATACAATGATCAGTCATCCGCCATCTCCATCACCCGGAGCACAATGTCCACCTCGCCTTTGGCAAGGGCGATAATGGCGTTTAACAAAAACTCGTTTTCTGCCTCTTCCAAGGCGTCTGGCTGCCACTCTCCGGACTCTGTAAATCTATATGTATTGTCCTTATGTACACCAGACAGTTTTTACGTTGTATTTACGTATTTTTACGCATTTTTACGTGTAACAACGTAAAAACTATTTTTACGCGTAAAAACGTAAATACGATCAGTTTTTACGGCGTAAAAACCAAGCCTGGTTGTGCCTGAAACCACCATATTGACCTTCCAAAGATGATGTGGTGGCAATGAGCCACTTTTGATGCACATGTCTTCTGATGGGATTCACTGCTGCTGGGATTGTACCAACAATGACAGTTTTGCCCTTTGAATGCTGTTGCGCAATAGAAAGGCTGCACTAATGTACTTTGTACTAGGTACCAAATAGTACTATGTACAGCGTACAAAGTGCTTTTGTGGATTGGCATGGCAACTGTGCACGGCCAAGTGGGCGGACATTCAATCATCAATGCCTGTTGCCCTCTAGTGATCAAGCGACATTAAACTACAATTTTAACAAGAAGATAAACATGGCACAATATACTGTGCCTGTTGGTGCCAGCCATCGCCCATCAGCCGCAATACAATGCTCGAATGTAACTCAAGCATGTTACCCAGTAGGTAATCCCTGTATCATTTGTTGGCACCAGGCTACCATCCCTGATAGACAAATATGACAGAGAGATGAAGACCTCCACCATGCGAGTGCTCCCTTGCGCATCACGGGTAGTTGCTCCTAACTCCCACCCCTTTGTGGCCGGAGTTTGCAACTGCACACCTCACAGGCACCGCTGATGCCATTCTCGAGGCCTTTCAGGGATGCGCACACTCCCTTGGATATACCCTTGCTGGCGCATGTCACATGCGCATTCTGATAGTGTGGCCAAGAAGAATGCCATTCAACATACAATGGGTACTTTGAATTAACCCTAACAACCAAGACCACCACTCTTTTCCAGCAATGGGGGCCTGCCAAAGGACATCTCGGTAACTTTGAGCAGTGTGACTTCCACACACGAGCTGCAAACTCTTCGCAGGGGCCCCTCCAAGAGACCTGACCCACGGCCACATTATCTTCGGCCACATTTTACCCGAATGAACACCGACCAACCGGGCCAATGCAATCCGGGTTCAACGTGCGATGATGGACAGGATGCGGGAAGGCAGCTACCTTCGAGGAAGACACGGGTCAAAGAGAGTCAACGAAACCAGTTGCCCACTCCCTTCGCCAGCAAACTGGCACCACCCCGCCCCAGGCGCTGCCCACCCCTGTTCCACCGCATGCCTTCCTCTGGGCGGCTGCCCAGAGGTCCTGAGGAGGGCAGCGGACGTGCACAGGGAAGGGCGAAGAAGGGGCGACGGAAGGGAGGCAGCGTGTCGCCAAAGGGCGGTCACAGAGACCAAGACCGGTCCCGGGGTGGCCTGGTGAACGCGGACACTTCCACTGGACGGCATGGAAATGGCTCCTCGGCCAACCCGCCTTACGTACCGTCAACTGTGCCCATTTGGTGCGTGCGACTGGACGGGCGTACCCCACCCCATACCCCTCTCCCGTGAAATCCCCAGCATCGCGATTTTGGACGGGGGGAGTCGTGGCTGAGTGGAGGTCCCGGGGCTGCGCACGGGTGTGCAGGCGGCGCCACAGGAGCCCAGACCACGACGACACTTGGCGGTGGCCAAGGAGCACATCCATGCCGGATGATTTGCCACGCCTGCGAGAGCAACTTAAGGAGGTGGGAAGGCGCACTGGATCGATTGTCGAGTGTCGTCGCGAGGCGCAAGGAGCCGACTGGCAGTTTGGTTGGTGCCACACCCTGTGATGCGTCCGCCTCGCTGCGCCCGTCGAGGCGTATCCCCGAGCAGGCGAAGGATCGATGCCAACTCACCCTTCGCCCGCGCAGGCTGACTTACGCCGTGCCAAGCAGTTAACCCAGCTGCTCGGCACACTGGGGTATGCCGTGGAAAGAAACAAGCACATGTTCAACAAGGACGTGTTGTCCCACCCGCAGCCCACCGCCGCGGGTTCGGGCCTGCCTGCTGTGACGGGGACGTCCGTTCTGGCCGGTCCATCGGCAAACCTCGGTAGGTTATGGTCTGAGTGGGCATCCGGGGTCCCTGGCCCTCGCTGGCTCCACGGTGGTCGCATGCTCTGGTAATGGGGTCACAGGAGTGGCACATTGCTGCGGATGTGACCAGGCGTGGTGCCAATGGGTGCTCATGCCAGGCCGATGTGCTTGACGCAGGTTTGGGTTTGGGGACTACGCTGGAACACAGGCCAATTTGGAGACAGCCATTCCAGCCACTGTTGTTGAGGCACTCGCTCGTCAGAGTAAGATGTCAATTGCTGCCACAGGCTTGCTTGGTGCTTGTAGGCAACGTCGACTGCCCACTAATGGGATGGATTGTGGTACTTTAGCTCTTTCAGCAGCCTCTCCACACCATCCTTTATCCTAATGATTCTCCAAGGGTTACTTGCGGCACCCTCACAGGAGCCACATGGGATGCCAGGTCCCTTTGATGGCAGGGATACAATCCATGCCTGCACAATCCAGGTTGTGCATTTTCCTTTGCGTAGATTCAGCCGTTCCTGGCAAACGCAATATCTTGCATCAACAAGCCCAATTTCAAAGCACAGCCATGGCTATGTCATGACACTGTTTCCATGTTGTCATGCATAGGCTGGCCTGACTGCACCAGAAATTAGTACCCCCACACTACCTTTCATGCCCCCCGCAATCTGCAGCAAGTTACTGAACAGCAAGCCCCCGCCTCCCATACCACACCCAGTCCACTGTAAAGCCTCCATGACCCATGAGCACACAGCACGAGTGCAGCGCTGCTCCCACTGCGTTTTCCCAGCTAGGCACCCTCTAGGGGCCCATGCATTGAGTGGGAGGCAGGGGGGGACTGAGTGGCTATGGCCCTGGAAAAGGGGGGCCTTGAGCCCTTGAGCCCCTCTGAAAACTGGAAAGGGACTTACAAGGGGATTGTTGGCAGGGGATGCACGGATGCGGTTGAGAATCGGGGGGCAACCAGCAATGGATGGGGGTGCCTGAAAGCATGAGACAGTGGCTGCACTCATGCCCCCTGTGCTGTGTATGGCCATGGATTGACTTGAAACAATTCCTTGGCTAGAAAGGCAGACCGTCCTTGACGTCCAGCACAACTCGTGCGTTGGTCTCCACACCTCTCCAAAGGCCAGCACCCAAGTCCAGAACAGCATGGTTCACTGTCCGAGTTGCTCTCCTGTTTGTCTGGCCCATCAAGTGGCAAGTGACTCCCCCAGTTTGGTTGATAACACACCAATACAACGCAAAATGCCAATCATAGCCAAGTGGCAGTGATATTTCTGCGAATATATTGAAGCAAGAAGCAGCCCTGCACTATGTAGCACACCCTCTGCACTCTGCAGCAAAGTACTTCTTCAATAATGGGGGAGGGGGGACAATCTAAGCTCCCCTGCTCTATTCAACACCCCTCCACTATCCTCTGTGATCTTAAGTACGCACAAGGGCTGATGAAATGTGACATGTTTGTGTCTGGTGTCTGTTGCAGCTTCCACTCCTGGGGCTGCAATATTGCACAATGCAGCCCCCTGTGCAAATGTGAGATTCGCACCATTGCCTCCCTCCCTCACCACGCCCAGTTCGCCCGCAGCCATGAACCGTGGAATGTTCAATATCATGGACCAGGCTCTTGTGGGTCACAGAGGCAACTTTGTGCAAGCCGAAGGAGGTTTCTGGACCATGCCAGCAGGGGGCATGCCAGGAGGTGCAGTCACCACACCCAGTCTGCCCGCAGCCATGAACCATGGAATGTTCAATATCGTGGACCAGGCTCTTGTGGGTGACAGAGGCAACTTTATGCAAGCCGAAGGAGGCCTCTGGACCATGCCAGCAGGGGGCGTGCCAGGAGGTGCAGTCACTGTTGGGCTAGAGAACCCAGGGCGCCACGGTGCCTACCCTCTTGCGAGTACCCTGCCCTATCAGGCTGTCAGTGTTCCTCACATGCTGGCACAGCTTGCCCAGCAGCAACAACAGCAATACAGCAATCAACAGGTAACCAACTAGGGTTTCTATTCATTTGCAAGCAGGTCACAGCAGCAACTGTATGTTGATGGGTGGAAGCATTGCCTTTTTTCCTTAGTACAGGGCCCTGGCCATACTAAGGATTTGCCACTGGGACAGCTTGGAGAAACGTGCTGTTTACTTGTTGGACAGGGAAACAATCTTAGGTCGGTGACACCAAAGCATATCAGAAGTGGATGCTGACATGTCAGTAGTGAGGAGCATCATACTATAATATGACAGTAAACGTAAACCATTGTTATTGTGACTCAAAAATGTTTTGATTGAGCTGGGTGTGCAAAGCAGTGGCACTTGTGCAAGCATATTGGTCATGCAGCAAGAGGGCAGGGTCGGGACAACTACAGGCGGGCGACCCCTTGGATCACGGTGACGTACGCCTGTGCAGCGCTTTATTGTACGCCAGATGCTGTGCTCCCCGGTCCATCAACTCCCGCGTCATGGGCGCCGAGTGCGCTCTGTATTCGAGTTGATAGTTTAAGACTTGGTTGGTGTGCTGAGTACACTGCACTATTACTAGTATTCGTTTGTCCGAATTGTACAACAACTGAAGCCTCCATTACAGTACATCGCACCATCGTAGCACACACACAGTGGTTGGAGCAATTCTTTCCATTGAAATTTTCAAATGTTCCACAGCTTTTCCTTGTACATGAGCAAGAAACCAATGAAGGAATACAGGAAGCTTTCATGAATAGAACCAGTTTGAGGGGATCAATCAGTAGAACTCCTAAGAATAAAAGAATTCGGACTAGATCTGCCCTTGTAATTGGCAGCTGCTCTTGAGGATCATCAGAGGATGCACACAACAGACAGGTGCCAGTATTGGACCACAGTCAATCAGTTAAGAGCTAATCTGAATCCACAGCGATGTTCACCTGATCACGGTGATTTGTATGTCATGCACAGCTTCCTGAACCACTGAAAGTTGTTTCTCTGGCAAAATTGACATTTTACACGATTCACGCATGGTGCACGTCTTCAAAGTGTAGTGGATGGCTCAGTCCAGAAAATTACTGCACTATGTTGTGTATTGTATTAAAATTACTGCACTATTGTATTTTGTCAATTCTAGGGACTATCATTGCGTGTGGACAGTGGCTATGTTATTGCAAATAGTTTATATTTGCCTGTGGAGGCAATGCCTTCATCAGTTCCACTGAACTGATCATTTCGACTTGAATGTGAAAGAGCCAATGGCTTTGTTTCTGAATCATTTTGTTAACCTTATACATGAAGGGTACACCTGACAATACTGCAAAGGAGAAGGAAATGGAAGCATTGGGAGAGAGCATACAAAGGGAAGCGTCAGCCGGATTTTCTATCCCAGAAGGCAGCAGCAACGACAGGAATAGCCAGATCAGTCTTGATGAAGTGCAGCAGCAGTTGACAGGGTTTAGATACAACTCAAGTATAATGAGGTTCCTGAAGGAGCAGGTGGCCATTGCACGAGGGCAACAACAGCTTGGCATTTTGTCAGATGCCTCATCGCGGAAATTGGATGCTGTCCTGAAAAAGGGAGATCGCCTCATCAAAAAGCACTCGATGCCATTTGACATCAGGCGCTTCTACAGGATTTGTGAAGCTGTAAATGGCGTTGAGCTGTTGTGTGAGCAAATGACTGACTTCTTTCCAGACAAGAGGTCTCTGATTGCATCAGTTGTGCCAGGGGATGATGTTGACAGGGACAGGCGGCATCTGTACGTGCACCTTGCATATGTCCTCAAGGGAAGGCAGTGTGATTTTGGCTGCAAGGAAAGGTTCCGGGCAGAATGGGAATCAATCCGAAAACAACATGAGCGGCGTCTGACAACCCTTAATGTGATTGCTGATGCTGACATCGTTGTTGGCCAGAGCATTGGGGAAGGGGGCTATGGGCTGGTGCACAAAGCCAAGTGGGGAACCTCCGAGGTGGCAGTGAAGAAATTGAAATCAGCCCACAATGGTCTGGATATATCTATGGAAGAGTTCGCTTCAGTTTTCAATGAGGTGTCCACACATGCACTGCTGAATCACCACCCTTGCATTGTCCGATTGTATGGGATCACAAGGTCTGGATGGACTGTCATGGAGCTCGCTGATGGCGACCTGAGCTTGCTGCGCAGAAACAAGATGGCCTGGTCTGTGAAGCTTGACATCCTGGAGCAAGCAGCGTCTGGGCTAGTCTATGTGCACAGCAGACAGCCACCTTTGATTCACGGCGACGTCAAAGATACAAACCTTCTCTACATCAAAGTGGGTGGAGGGAAGTATGACGTCAAACTGGCCGACTTTGGGCTGACAACGGAAGCAAGAAGGTGGGAAACGGACACGGTCAGATCCACTCGTGCGACCTCCCTTTGGAAGGCTCCAGAGCTCTACGATGGCAATGCCCCCTCCCTTCGGTCTGACGTCTTCAGCTTTGGCCTCGTCATGCATGCAGTCATGACAGGTCGTCTGCCATATGGGCGTGGAACCAATGAGCTGGCAGTGATGAGGAAGAAGCTCGACGGGCAGCGCCCCTGCTCAGTCACGCAGCATGACTGCCCCCTTGAGCTGTGCGAACTGATGGAGCGCTGTGTTGCCAAGGTCCCAGAGGACAGACCCACCATGTGCGAGGTCGCCAAGTGCCTTTCAAACCTGCCGAGAGAATGGCAGGCGGGGCAGTAGAATTGCAGTGGACTGCAGAGACATTGCGGATTGTAGTGGAGCTGACAAGTTTTGTGTACATGCATTGTGTTCTGTTGTGGCATGCTGCGCATATGTATCATCTGCACCCCGATGGCCCCTCCATGAAAGACCGGTGAAAAGTGCTCAATGAGATTCCTCACGTCGTGGGATCTGTGCTCTGGATGTGGAATGCAAGTACACCCACGTGCCCACTTACTGTTTCTGTTCGAGCATACTGCGCAGAAATCCACCACAGAGCGGCCTCTCCACAATACCGTCATATGTATTCGTATCAACGTCAACCGTGAGGGTTCAACAGTACAGCGAGAGTAGAGCATTGAGTGTGAGTGTAAAAACAGCCAATGCATCGGCGGGGGTTGCTTGGCACGTGGGTTGTGTGAAGCTCGTTTAGGTGGGCCCATGTCGTCAGCAACCCTCACGTTTGATGTGTTGTGTGCTCCTTCACTTTTGAAGAATACCGTCTCGAAGCTGATTGGATGAGCTGTGAACATAGGCGACCATCTTCAGAGCCTCAACAGCAGCAGCATCCCCTTCCCAAGCCCCGTGCAACCCCTCCATTATCCGTAACACGGTTCACTGATGACAATAGCACTACCAGGGCGGATGGATACAATTTCAGCGCTATTGGTATTACGTAGTTGTAGTTTACCAAACTTCTCTATCGATTTTCTTACAATTAGACTGTTGTACCAATTACTGCGCAGCGTCACCCCGGGAGGAGGATTTATTCATGTATGCCCCATAAACCCAAAGTCCTACGGCCAGAGATTCGCTGGTGAAGCGGTCAGCACTCAGGCTGCTTGGATCGCAAATCAAGACCAGTGTGGCACAGGGGCAGTACATTGTATTGCGTTACTGCTCTCCCCCCCCAACCCCTTACACTCCGCATCCTTGTTAGTGACCTACTGCCGCAACATGCACTAGGGTACATCAAAATACAAGGCAAACCATGTGCGTTCCTCTAATAGCAGAACCGACGGATTTCAATAACTCGAAAGGCGTCGTGGCGCGATTTCCACAATCACAGAATGGAGAACTAGGAACAAACAATTAGGATCTAAATGTGCACAGTGGTCAACTTGCGCTCAGCGCGCGGAAACGCATCTGCGCACATATACCACCCATCCAACCCCACCCCAGCGTGCCACTCCATCTCGAATGCGACATCTGCCAATCTGGCATTGTTTTACATTGCATGAATATTCATTAATGCTGCTCATCAACTTGCGGGCCATTGTCGTATGTAGAAATGTCGGCCGTGGAAATACGGCACGACGACCGAACTAACACAACAAGAAGGCGTCAGCAACAGACGTCAACAAAAGACTTCACAATCGGAACCGCCGCTAGGCAACAGAGAGAAGGACTCACAACTACATTATGTACTGACGCGAAACCAGCCACAGCTGCAAGGACGAGGCTATGGCGATAGTCGCGAGGACTACACAGGACATTTCCACACACATGCTGGACTAATGAATCAGGACATTCACCAACATCCACAGCGACGGAGACAACGCTGCAGCAAGAGTCGTCACCAGGATACCACTCGGGGGTGTCCAGAACCCCGTGAAGTACTGGACAACGCCAATCAGAGACAGCCATGGCAGTGGGAAGCAGTGCCATGGCGATAGGCGTCTCCGAAACCGCACTAAGCACACTCAGAAAGCACCACAGTACTGATACCAAGCCACCAAGCTACGGGGGCAGGGATACGGACAGGATAGTCACCACGGCTGCGCGAAGGAAGGCTCACATCACCACGAAGTATTGAAAAACAGCACCCAGAGGCAGCCATGGCAGTGGAGAGCAAAGCCATGGCGAGAGACGTCATCAGAACCACGCAAAGACGCCACAGCACGCTTAAGTGCTGAATTTGGGTAGCAAAGTGACAGGCGCAGCACCGTGACGTCACATTCCTGTCGACAGGAATGGTCACTGGAGAGCCATGGACAACTAAACTTCGCAAAGTACTGAAACGAGGCGCACATGACCAGCTATCGCTGCAAGGGCATATCTGTGGCGAAAGGCGTCAAGAAAGAATGTTAACAAAGGTAACAAAAGAGTGATATAAGCTGGCGGTAAGAGTCAGAGGGCAGACGCCACAACGGGAGCCGTAAGGATATCTTGGCATGGCGAAAGGCGTAGTGGAAAGAAGGCGAAGCGCCTCTCGAGGTCGTCACCGAAGGAAACGAGCTGCTGAAGATGTATAATAATGCGATGACTGCAACAGTTGAGGAAGCCGCAGCACCACAGGAAAGCAATGAGAAAAGCTCTTGGACATGAACGGACAATGTAAAAGGATGCGAGAAAGACGTCAGACATCGAGGCATCGAATGCTGCCACTGGAGCTGGAGTCGGAAGCTAGAAATCTACTCAGGAACCATTGCAAAGGGACCTTATTAAAAGCACAGTACTGGAGATGCAACATAATGCACAGCCATTGTCACCAAGGAAGGCCAAGAAAGTGGAGCGAGTGCCCTGAAGAATTACTACGTATCTGTACCCACAATGACGACTGTGGAGAGCTCTGAAAATACCCACTGTTCCACGTTGCTGTGCACTGCCCTACACCACCCAACTGATGGCCATAGGACGGAAGTTGAGTTTCTGCACATGCATCCGTTCAGCGCTGTCGGCAGCCGTCGCGAAGCACGGGCGTTCTTCTTGGAACTTATTCACGCTGAGCTCTGAGCGCAGGCAGGCGTCTCTGTCAAGATGCATATAGCCTTGAAGGCCCCCGCCCCCCTTCCCCCCCCCCATAGTGCTGGAGGCGGCTCCCCCAACCCTGGCCGCAAGATCCGGCAGTCGTGCGCTCTTTTCCATGAACGGGTGGGAGTTGACCACGGTGCCGCCGCAGACCGTTGACCAAGGGTGTTTGACCAATGCATAGGAAGTCCCCACATGGGAAGCCTCCCTTGTAACATCAAAGTCTGACTCCGTGGGTTTGTGTGTGGTCGCACTATCGTGGCGTGGGGAGAGATGCTCGGCTATATTTCGTTCAGGGCGCTAGTTGACCACCGTTGACAGGCATGTGGCGGACCCCAGAGTGCGGCGACGTTCGACGACATGCGTGTAGGGCAGCCTCCCAGCGTGCTGTCCGGCAGCTTTCGAAGCACAGGGGCGTGTTCCTGATGGACCCAAGGCACCCTTTCGGGAAACATGGGTGCAAGAATCAGCTTAAGATTCTGTGGTCTGGCACTGCGCTTGCTTTGTGTGAGCGCTCCAGGCACGGTCGAAGCAAGAATGCCTCTCCTACGTGTTCGACTAAATTCTTAATAGCATTTGCCATCTAAAACACATCGAGACACTTGCAATCTTGCAGTAGATGACGGCCACGTATGCACCCAGCTGAGTGCTGCAGCAGCGCTGTTCTGTCGCTCACGCATTCAGCTCATCTACACGCTAACGTTGGTCAAACATAAGGAAATTGTTGCTCTGCAATGTATACCTGTCTCCTTGGTAAGATAGCTTTGTTACACCCAGCGAAAATGGATGTATATGCCTGAAATGGACTGCCTCTACTTCTCCTGTCCCCTTAAGGTTTCCCCTGCCTCTGTGTCCCTCTGTCGTTTGACCTGAAGCAGCAAATCTTTTAGGGTCTGAGGCCCCTGGGAACCAGGGCTAGGATCAACTGTTGCCTGGCAGATGATTTGTTGGGCCTGAAACCACCATATTGACCTTCCAAAGATGCTGTGGAAGCCATGAGCTGCTTTGGTGAGCATGTCTTCCAAATGTACTCTTTGTTATAGGGATTCTGGTAATTTAATAGTTTTGCCCTTTGAATGTTCTTGCACCATGAAAAGGCCTTGCTGATGTACTATGTATTAAGTACCAAGCACCACCATGTGCTGTGTACCAAGTGTGTTTTGGAATGGCAGGCGCGACTGTGCAAAGCCAATTGGGTGGACATTAAAACATCAATTTATGTTGACCTCTGATGATGTAGTCTCTTTGCAGAAATTACTGTCCACAACCAAGCAACTGCAAATGGACTACAACGTTAGTAAGAAAGTCTATGGCATAAATATGTATGGCGTGCCCACTGGTGCAAGCCACTGCCCATCACCTGTAACACAATGCTTAGATATAACACAATCGTGTTACTCAATCGGCAATCCCTGTATCGCTTGTTGGCACAAGGCTAGTTGCCTTGTGGTTGTCAGGGCATTATAGTATAGCGGCCCAATAACCACATATGACAGACAGTGAAGACCTCCACCAGGCGAGTGTTCCCTTGCACACCACGGGCAGTTGCTGCCACCTCTGGCCCAATTGTGGCTGGAAGAACTTGAAAGGACAAGCCACACGTGTACCACCGACACTGCTCCCGAGGTCCCGTGGGAACACACATACTCCCTGGGTTGTGCCTCTATTACGTGTATCACATGCACACTCCGGCGTGCCCAGAAGGAGTGTCATATACCATGCAATGAGTGCTTTGATTGACCCCCCAATCCAGCACAGACGTGCAGCTACTGAATAACCAAGATCACCGCTCTTTCTCCATCAATGCGCGCCATTCAAAGCACATGTCGGTAATTTTGGTGCCATGACATCCAGGTTTGGTTTTTACGCTTACGTTTACGTTTTTGCTTTTACGTTTTTACGCGTAAAAACGTAAATTTGCAAAAGGACCTATTTTTATGGCTATTTTTACGTTTATACGGCTCCCTGGGATACCCAGGTTGTACGATGAAAGTTGCGTACAATGATCAGTCATCCGCCAACTCCAGCACCCACAACACAATGTCCACCTCGGCCTTGGCAAGGACGATGATGGCGCTTAACAAAAAAAGTCGTTTTCTGACCCTTCCAGGGCGCCTATCTGCCACTCTCCGGACTCCGCAAATCTGTATGTACTGCCCTTATGTACACCGAACAGTTTTTACATTGTATTTTACGTATTTTTACGCATTTTTACGTTTAAAAGCATAAAAAATACTTTTACGCGTTAAAAAGTAAATACGATCAGTTTT